TGAAGAAGCTATTTGTTTGTGGAAACTTCTGCAATATTTATTTAAAAAAAAACACAAACGACAAATAAAAAAATTTGGAGCTTACGTTCCTTTCGCGGTTATGGCTCGATTGCTCTGAATATGGTTTTTCGAATTCTTTGATGTCGCAATTTTAATGTTCTGGGGAGATTATGCCACCGTTAGAATATTGAACGTTGGCTTACACAGCCGCAATTGGCGATTCGTACCGGACGAACTCAGGAAGAATAAATAGAACACGCAGCTACTGAACGACTGGCAGTTTACCCACTGAGAAAATAGGTAAGCCGACATGTAAATGTGCATTCAAATGTTCAGGTTGATTCAACACCACGTGTGTGTGGTATGAAAGTATTGTTTTTAAATACGAACATTTTAAAACGATAATCAAATCAAAAATATTCATGTTACTATGCGTTATTTTCCCCGGTAAATTCTTAAAATTTTTCTTAATATTACAACGCGTTTTTTCTCTCAGTGTAGTCATTTTTATGCAAAATTTGTGGAATCAAATCGAAAACCGGGACACTTAAACGAAACCCGGGACATTTTAAGGTTGGACCGGGATACCGGGACAAATAGTTCAGTTTGTTTTCTTTCAGTTTTTAGTACCAAAATTGTCATCATGGCCAATGTCATCTATTAGTAAAGTGCAAAATGAACATGTCCGACGACACATTACGTTGTCAGTTGCAAAATAACGTGCAGCCGAAGTTATTTCCAAGCACCGAACTACTCCGAGCGACTGCTCTGCATTACACGTAACACGTAAAGCGGCTCAGAAGTATGTCTGATACCAAATGTACATTCTAAATTCCTACTTATATAAGGCGGCCACGTCTTTGTTAAAGTAAGGGAGATTCGTCAGTGATGTGGTAAGGACAGCCGGGTGAAGTGTAAGTTGCTGGTAAGGTATTGCCCACTCTGCACATTTGTCGTCCAATCATGGCTGCGCTGTCGTCTCGCCCTGAAATTTTGAGCCGAGCACGTGGATTTCAATGGAGGTCTGCATTTTTGTCGTTATCGGGTAGTTATAGGCAAATCGTAGAATATGCAGAAATGGATAAGTACGACACCGTCGTTTGCTAATCGTTATGCAAGCATGGTTTGTTTACATTTTATGGGGAAAAATTTGTAAAAAGGTTAATATTTGCATTAAAATTATACACAAATGAGTATTTCTTCCTTAAAATCTGTGAAAATTATTAAAGAGTGGACATTTGCAATAAAATTTAATAAAGTAGATAGTTTTAACTATCAAATATGACAAATAGTCTCTGCGTGCACAAAACACATTTCAGGAAAAGAAAAGAAGAGAGATTAATGGAAAATTATTTCTAGAATTGTTGCAGCACAGTTCATTATTTAAATATTGCAGGTTTTTGTAAAAATTTCGCGAAAATATCAACCAAAAAACAGAAAATACCTGCCCTAAGCGAATTTTTAGACGCCAAATGAATTGAAGTATCACGACCGAGTGTGCGAAAGTGTAGTCGTCATGTAATCGTTGAATCATGATGTCACGATGAAGCCACTATGATTGGACGACCAATGTGCAGAAAGCCTTAGTGTGCAATTACATCGCGCCATTAACTAAACCGAGCTGTCGTGTGACGATTGGGCCCATGGTTGCGGTTTGGCAATATTATATTGCGTCAAAGTCTCATTCGGAAACACCAGGATTGTGTTGTGGAGGACAATACCTAAATACCTTCGTTGGTTCATTTACCAGAACCATTGCGCGCTTTACTTTACAGCGACTTGGCAGAATCAAGAGATCTTCACGAATATCGACAAATACATTTCGGCATTTAAGGGAATTTCGTCTCTTTAGCCTATATTTAATTACTGAGTGTAACGATTCTCACCCATTTTGTCTTGTTGTCGCTGGCGAATGCAGAGCAAACATTTCTTCAAATTTAAAAAGTAAAAATTTCACTACTAAAAATTTAAAAATGTTCTTAAAACTTTCAAAGAAATTTGGAAAAGAAATATCACTGTTTTTGTTTTTAGGAGTAGAGCGAGAGTGTCATTGATAAAATTAGAGCGAGAGAAAGTTTTTCTTACAAAACCTTNATTTAATTACTGAGTGTAACGCTTCTCACCCATTTTGTCTTGTTGTCGCTGGCGAATGCAGAGCAAACATTTCTTCAAATTTAAAAAGTAAAAATTTCACTACTAAAAATTTAAAAATGTTCTTAAAACTTTCAAAGAAATTTGGAAAAGAAATATCACTGTTTTTGTTTTTAGGAGTAGAGCGAGAGTGTCATTGATAAAATTAGAGCGAGAGAAAGTTTTTCTTACAAAACCTTTCAGTAACAAAAAAGTAGCGATACCTGCGTAATTCCCCCCAGATGCAAAGTTTTTAGACTTTTCAATTTAGAAAGTTCGCCGGAGCCACTTTTTGTGGAGTCACAAGAAATTGATAACGGTGTATTCACGGCAAGGTGCATAATTAGTACAAGTAACCCAATCGTCAAAGTCATAAATACCACAAGTGACATAAAATACGTAAAGAACTGTAACATCCGGACTGAAAAACTCTCTAATTTCAATGTTTATTTCATTAATAAGACAAGAAACGATGACAACCGGACAAAAGAACTGATTAAGATTTTGAAAAAACAAGTTCCTAGCTACACTGAGAGTGAATTGCTCAACTTGTGTTTAGATTACGCAGATATATTTGCACTTCGGACGAAAAAATGACATTAAACCACTTTTACGAACAAAAACTAAGATTGACAGACAACAACCCAGTTTACATTAAAAATTACCATTTACCATATTCCCAGCGTGAGGAAATCAACCGTCAGGTTAATAAGTTACATATAAAAAAATTAATTAATCGAAGAAAGTTACTCGAATTATAATAGCCCTTTAATTGTTGTTCCGAAAAAAGACACTAATGGTCAAAAAGCATACCGCATGTGCGTCGATTTCCGTGCTGTTAATAAGAAACTGATTGCCGATAAGTTCCCTCTTGCGCTAATAGATGACATTTAAGACAACCTTGGCCGAGCGAAGTATTTTTCAACTTTAGACCTCTTTTCAGGTTTTCATCAAATCCCTTTGCATGTTGACTCACGTGACGTAACGTCCTTTAGCACCGACCGAGTAGCATTTAGGTGGAAAGTATTACCGTTTGGTTTAAACGTAGCACCTAATTAATTTTTACGAATGATGACAATTGCTTTTTCCGGTATTCCGCACAATGCGGCATTTCTTTACGTCGATGATATAATCGTAATTGGTTGTAGCGAGGCACATCACATCAAAAATCTTTCAAACGTTTTCAATACTTGCAGAGCTTTCAACTTAAAACTTAACTCGAATAAATGCAATTTCCTCCGGCCAGAAGTTACATTCTTAGGCCATAAATGTTCAGCCAAAGGTCTATTGCCAGATGACACCAAAATAAATGCATTTAAAAAATATACAAAACCGACTGATAAAGACGCGGTTAGAAGATTCGTCGCATTTGCTAATTATTACAGACGGTTTATACCAAATTGCGTCTCTGGCAGCGCCTTTGAATCAATTAGGCAGGAAAAAAGTTGGGTTTATTTGGGACAGTGAGTGTGATAAAGCTTTTGAGTCGCTAAAATCAGCATTAATTTCACCAAAACTGCTACAATACCCGGACTTCTATATATTGCTATATTGAGCCAAGAGCAACAAGGGAATGATTTAACTATTTGTTTCGCTTCTAATTCATTTAATAAAGCCGAACAGAAAAAGCCAATTGTTGTCGTCGACGCGACTTTAATAAAAAAGACACACAACTTTTTTAGGGAACTTTAATAACTTTTTATTAGCGATGCGTTTCTTCGCGTTGCGCTTTAAAAATATTTGTGAGCTTGGCGCCTCTTTAACTGTTCATATACAAAGAACCATACCATTTAAATTCACGGCTGTATATATAGCAGAACTTCACTAAAATAGAATAGGTGTACATAAGCTCATACCTAACGGTGACCATTTATACATATATGCATATAAATAACTCAATTGTGAGATCTATGCTTAGATAATTTACAGTGGTGTAATATTAAGTACTAAGTTGTAAATGTACTCATATTTAGCGGCAACTGCCAGAACTTATCAGCGAAGTCTTTAGTTTTATGCCATTGCTGTCGTAAATCGTGTTTATCGTCGAAAACCGCTTTGTGGCCATCCGTTGATCCCAATAGCAAATGGTTTGGAGTAAGCGCATCGTCATCCGCGCTATCAAGTGACACGAACGTGAGCGGTCGAGAATTTATGATGAGCTCAACTTCGCACAAGGCATTCCTTAGCGTTTCGTCGGTAAATTTAAATGAAAGGCAAATGGCGTTAAGCACAGCTTTTACCGAACGGACCAATCGCTCCCAGGCACCACCCATGTGTTGCGCTCCGGGTGGGTTGAATCGCCACATGACATCCTCGTACTTTGTTTGCGCCATTTCAATAATTCTGGACTCTACACGCAGAGACTTTTCTGCTGCCTTAAAATTAGTTCCATTGTCCGTATAAATTTCGCGCGGCTTCCCGCGCCTTGAAATGAAATTTTGAATACACATAATGCACGAGGAAACATCTAAGCTGTGTGCGATTTCCAAGTGGACGACACGAACTGTCAAGCAAGTAAAGATTACTCCCCACCTTTTTTCTCGACGTCTTCCAACTGATACGTGTATAGGGTCAAATAAATCTATACCGACGTAGGTAAAAGGGCGTTCGAAGCTTGTCAATCGTGCAGCTGGCAGCGGTGCCATTTGCTGAGCGTTTGGTTTAGTGCCGTCGTTCTTGCAGCGTTGACACAATCGTCTTACCTTTCGATAAAGCANTTCGAAGCTTGTCAATCGTGCAGCTGGCAGCGGTGCCATTTGCTGAGCGTTTGGTTTAGCGCCGTCGTTCTTGCAGCGTTGACACAATCGTCTTACCTTTCGATAAAGCACCCTTAACCGTGGAATGTAGTACTTTTCACGAATTGTGTTTACAGTAGCTTCGTGAAACTGATGATGATTTTGCTGGTGGTAATGGCGAACTATTAAAAACGTGGTAGAATGATGGCATCGCCAGACCTCAAGTTCTCGGCTCTTCCTCGTGCTCTGAGTAAGCCGTCATCGTCTATATAAGCATTTAAAGATATTAGTTTACTGTCTCTCTCAATACTCTTACCGGACTTTAAAGTTCGCATTTCTGAAAGGTATTCACTCATCTGCGCTTCCTTTATGAGCATTTCTGGGCCTTTTTCGTGGTCTCGCAGATGGTTTCGAGGGTTGGCGCAACTTTATTGATCACCGCTTTCAGCTTCGTTGCACACATATTACTGTCGCTACCACACGATATAGGCCCGGGGGGGGACTTTGATTCCCAGTGGGAACGGTCACCATAGCTGGGCTCTAAGCTACCGGGGGGGTCGGCAGGTCGCGGATAGCCGGACGGCCTGTAGTAGCAGGTTAGTTGCGAAATAAGGTTAAACGAATAAGCAATCCCCGACGATGAGCAGCAGGAATTGAGGACGCGGTATAAAAGCCAGCAAGTCTGATGAAATTCCTGTGATAGTGGCGAGTGGACACCGCCTCTTTGAAATATGTGTCCCCCTCATCATACATATGATGAGCTACAAAAAAAAAACCCAGGCGCGACGGCTTCCATATTGGACGGCTTCCTGGTCAGCGTTTGTTCACCATGTTAGGTGCGGCTGATACAACAATCCAGACCGGTACGCGCTGCGGCGCACTGGGAGTCCCTCGAAATCCCTACAGCGATTTCTCCGCTGGCGGGGTAGAGACGGTGATGTGAGCGTGCTCTGCCGAGGTGTCAGCCGCGGTGCGTATCAGTAACCAGCCACTTCGGTCCCTGGTCAGGGAGTGTGCATTGGACGCAGGAGTAGTAGACCGCGTTGCCCCGGGCGAGCGCCGGTCCGTCCGTGTTTTCCGGGACCGGTAAAGCGAAGGACAGGCCTCAAGGAACTGGGGTAGGGGCATAGTCCCCGAGGGTATACCCGTTCCTGTCTATTTCGGCCCGCCCCCCTGCACACGATGCGCTGGCAAAAACAAAAGAATGGATTCCAAAATGAGAAAAAACAACAACAACAACAA